GCAGGTTGCAAAATGTTAAATTATATTATTACATGCGCTTAGGCGTTAGTAATGAATAAAAATGAAGGCTTATCTCAATATCCGCGCCGTTACGACACAACTGTTTATAGCGAGTAGGCTGCACGTGGGTGACACAGACAAGCTCACCTAATTATTACTATATTCATATTAGACAAGCAATACAGGTGATTATTTTAAATGGATATACATCTAAAAGTAACTATATGAAGAATGATAACACAATTCTAATACTATAGAGCCAGAAATCGATAAAAGATTTTATAATTAAATCATTCGCTATGGATCGTGAGCTTCAGGAAATGTTTTGGGTTCAAAATTTTAAAATCATGAAAGCTTGGCTTAATATATTAAGCCAAAAGTCTGACAGCGACAAGATCCGGATTACCTAAAAGAACGTAGTGCCATCTAAAATTTTAATCTACAGAACAGATCCTGAATGCAAATTTATTCTTATTAGGAAGACTTATCAAATAGACCAATAAGCTGATGTCAAACTAGATAGTTTTCCAAGATATTATATATTGCACCTTAGAAGAACAGGCCGATTAGGAAAAACTTGATCATAGTCTATAAACACTAAACGTTGTGAATATAACAAAACATTTATGGCTTATATATTCACAAAGCTTTTGACCCCAGTAAGCGAGCTTAGAAAACCAGGTTCGGGGCCTATATAAACATGTAAACAAATATATACTTGAAGATTACAAATGGAAACCGAGGTTAGGCGTTAGTAATTTGAAAACTAAAAATGAATTGGCTAATATAGATGGGAGAAAACTCACATTCGATCCGCACGATGTATTGTCGAAGAGAACCTCATAACTTGGAAATGATAGACCAAAGAAAGTGAGTAGGCCCTGAAAATGAACACACGAGGGAGTACACAGATTCAATCCACGAAATAAAACTTAATAATCAACCTCTAGAATTCGTTGAAGGAGTTACATCTAAATTATCTCTCTAACTGTTCCCAAGATCAAAAGAATATTGGAAACATATTGGTCACTGAGGAGACAAGAAAACTACAGGTGAAAATTATTTTAACACATGCATACCTCGAACTTGGACTCTAAGTATTTATACAAAGACATGAAAGCATGCTAGCATAAGAAAATTAGATAAACAAATAAACTCCAGACAAAGAGCAGAAATTAAGAATTCTACTAAATTGACAAATGAAATGGAGATGAAGGGTCTTATGCTACGGAGCCCCCATGAAAAATGGAGCATATTGTGACGGAAGGTACCCTAGAGACGGACGAAGAAGAGGTCGACCGCTGCAACAGATGTGAGGAAACTGAAACTAACAGCAGGCTCAACTGGAGAAGAGTCGCAAGAGAGCAGTGGAAAGGGTTTAAAGGCTACCCAACTGCCTTAAGGAAAATATATTAAAGTTCAGATATAAAATGAAAGAGTTTCGAATGAAAGGCTTATTATTATTAATTAATATGCTAAAAGATGAAACACATAGCTGATTCGTAGTTTTGACAAGATTATATTGGTTATCTTCTTATAAAGTTAAACTAAAGTTTGATAGCAATTATAAATAACTTAACTTATTATTATGACATTATTTTATAGTTCTTATTGTATGACATTATGAAAATTAATATGAAATTTACATGCCTACTTTTATATGGCTGATTGTGCAGATTTTATAATTAATCGATCTAAATGTAACTCTGTGTTTCCAAACCAATCCGAAAAGGGTCTTCAAGAATAAAGCGTACCCATTCTTTAAAAGGCCGGTAACATAACACGTACATCAGATGAGCCTCCTGACCGCTTGCACCCTATTACATGAAAAATAACTTGCATGTCATACGAATTTAACCAATTCTAAATTCTCAAACGATATTTCGTTGAGAAGTATTGTTCACAGGATAGTACAAATCATGGCAGACATTACTTTATCCGCTGACGTTAAATTTAATCAAAAAATTAAACATCTCAAGTAACTCAGTTCGGCCGCAGTCAACAAAAATACCTCGAAATGCCTGTACATATCTTCATTAATTCCTAGTTAAGAACTGTCGCGATCACGTTAGATAATAAAAAATATCATATCATAATCGGTTAATTTAGAAGCTACGATCACGTTACACGTCACCTTATATACACCCCTCTTTTTCTGAACACAATGCAATGAGATTATGGCTATCATTAACTGTAAATATATTATTATCTTAAAAGTTTTATAAAATAATTATTGAATTATTCACGTCAAAGGTCAGAATTGCATTAACAAAAAGCCAATATTGCATAATCAAGATGAAAGCTAAGTGTGGGAAGTTTAAAATTAGCCACTGTCTGCAGTTTCCTTTTGGCCAAAACTGGGCTCGTGACATACTTTTGAACACCTACAATACTTTGTTTGCTCCAAAACACAAATGGCAGCGTTCTGTATTTAATTAGTTTTAATCTTAAAAGTATTTAATCTTCTATGATAGGCTCAGATTTTGAAGTTAAAGGATCAACGTGAGAACTGACCACTGCTGAAGAGCACTCGAAACATAGAGCCATGTAACTAATGTAATTAGTTCTCGGCTCGCATAGAGCGCGCCTACAATTAGTGTTACTTAATTAACTAGGTTTTATTAGCACTTTTAGAACTAAAATCTAAACACAAGCTGGTTGTGGTTCAGGCTTTATTCAAATAAATACTGTCAGTACTAATATAAATATAACACTCAGTTTGAGTGTTTTCATAACTCACCAAAATAAAAAGAACAATATCGCAAATCCTATGTTGTATTTATGAAGAAAATAATTTTTACCAATTCTTAAAAGGCCAGCGAGCTTGCGAACATTCTGGCAATGTGAGTGTCCATGGGCGGCGGTATCACTTAACATCAGGTGAGCCTCCTGCCCGTTTGCCTCTTATTACATAAAACCAAAAAAAAAGCAATTGCTACAACTTTTTAAGGTCTGGGCCTCAGATTTCTGTATCTGTTTCATGATCATTTGGTAATCTAATAGGTAAGAAGGTTATCAGCTTTTGCGTGACGCACGCCGCATAAAACATTTGTGATTGTGACAGAAAAAAGGTGTGAAGTTAGTCGCTTCACTTATGCCTTGTACTCCAAAAGTGATTAAATGACCAGTGACCCAGCGCCTACGCATGTAAACAATGAATCGTATGACAGCTTACTTTTAAGAAAAATTGATAAATCATTATTTCAATATGTTTACGAAATTCTATACAAATTTGCGGGTTCTTAAAGAAATTTTTTTACAATAATAAATGCCAATATTGATAACGAAATATATTTTTAGATTAGTTTCATTGACTGGGTAATTGGATCTCAGCTGTACGGCCTGGGTTCGAAGGCATGCTGAAGGATTAATTAGAATCAACTAAGCCACTAACGCAGCTTTCATCTGTATTGCTTTATTTCGGTTTATGATACTTGTTTATTTAATAGATAAGAATAATTCTAAATAAAATAGCACATCTTTGTGCAAAAATAATACAACAAAATTTCAATTTCCTGAATAGATTTAGTACGTTTTATACGAAGAAACCTAAAAATGATAAAAAAATATTAAATCTAAATATATTTTATATAAATTCTAAAATAAGGCTTTCTAGAGGTCGTTTTTTAGGGATATGTATCTGTGACAAACCCGTATAATTTAAAAGGGATAAGGTGTCCCATGTAACAAGATCAGAAGCAACTAACCCTATAATGCTATAATAAAAGGTTAGTGGAAAACCGAAATTAAATTTCATGGAAACTTAACCGAAATGGGACGATCACCCCACATTGTTCTAAGTGTACATTGATCTTGGGAAACAAGATGTCCCTATTAAACAATTGTTTAACCCTCTCTGTATAGTGCAGACAAATGACGGCGTCTTTTATACGAATTAAAAGTATTTATTCTAATAAAGTTTCAAAAAACATGTTTGAATTATTGGATGTACTTATCTAAGAATCTCAGTAGATACGGTTGAGTTCTTTTTGTTATTAAATATATTTTATTACGTGCATTCATTAACATGATCAGTGTATCCAACATTATTTGTCTTAGAGTTTGTCATCTGTAGCAAATAAAGAAGAAAAGTCAATGTTTGGTTGCATGACGATCACCTAGTGATGGATGGTGGAAATTAGAAACAAGACGGGACTTACTGTTGGCCTACTATAAACTAAAAGTGTTGCAAAGTGTGTTGAGCAACCCAAGTGATTTTATAGAACTCGGTTTTTTTGAACCTAGGGGATATGTGCGACGGCAAAGGCCAAGGTTGTTTGCGATACCAAGGGCCAGACCAGTATGTTGCACAAATCCCCGTTAACAAAGACGTTGCGTCTACTGCATGCTGTCTCCGACACTATCAACATGTATATGCGCGATATTGTGTATTTCGACATTATTGTAAGTGGCTTAGTACTATATAGCTTAGTATAAGGAGTATGTATTACTATAAAGGATTACAAAAGGCTGTAAAGATGTAGAATGTGTCTATGGTTCAAGAACTAGGCTAACCAAAGATAAGAAAAGGACAATATTAAAGTTATTTTATGGTACATCTATCACTTTATATTTGTGTAGTTTTGTAGCTGTGAGAGCTCCGTGGTCGACATTCGGTTTGCGGTTCTAAAGCTAGACTTATATCAAAACTACTATTTAATGACTACTCTTTGTAATTTATTATATTCATACCTTTGAATAGAAATTAAACATTAACGAACCATTGCATTGATTTCAGGTGAGAGTCAAATTAAATTCACAAAATATTGACACAAAATAATTCAAAACAGTTTTATACAAAACGATTTTAAGTAAGTCACAGGACTATTCACAGACAAACAAGACAAAATACAGTCGTTCCATACACTTCCGTTTAAAGTAGTTTAGATATAAGTTCGTAGTTACGATACATTATATTATTAGTTTTTTTATATATAAATTATAATAATATTCCCGACTCCCACTCCTCACCGGGAACCTACGTCTCCGCACCCAGCTCGCTAGGAGTGCAACCGCCAGAAACTGCGCAGTACCAAACACCTTACGGCACGTAGCTGGGGCCCCCCAGCGCGCGATCTGCGGATGGAGTGCATCGACGAGTTCATCGCGCAGCTCGCAAAGCGCGAGCGGACGCCTCTCAACCTACCCATATAATATCCAAAAAATCTCATCTTGGCACTCCAAGCTTCCAGATCACCTCCAGTGAGGTATTCTCCGCAGGTACTAACAACACTGGACTCGACACCGGGACAGACACCGCGGCTTCGACCGCTGGTCGTCTCGCTGGGCTTCCCCCAGGTCAACAGGGGTCGTACATGGCGGGGCTTGACCACGAGCCGCCGAGCCCAATACCACCGACGCGACACCAGGGCCAAGTCGAGAACACTCCTTGGCCCCTTACCACCGGATTTGACACCTCCGGACATCGGCTACGCGCTGCGAGTCTGCACTGTCTGCTCGCGCGCTGCAGCCCTCATCAAGGTCCGCCCCCGTAACGCCCTATATTGGTATATTATCTTCTCCCGCATGGGGATAAAAGAATTATTAAATAACCGATCAATTTTAATTAAGCCATAACCGTTATAACTGTTGATGCCAACCCCCACGACACCTCAGAGACTCAGGCCTGCACAGGATATTACGGTTACGTGTTCGTTTGAGAACACCCGTGCAGTAACCCAAGTACCTCGGCGCGGCTTTGAATACCGGTGGGGTTTGACTACGTACGTTTTGTCGAGACGGTTTGACGTATCGCTGGCACCGCCTCAACCCACGCACCCCTGCTAGTGCGTAATTGTAGAGATTGTCTTGAAATGAAACTGCGCCTTGTTCTTGTTTCTTGCTTCGCCGATGATTCGTGGGTCCCAGTTCGTTGTCGGAGGAAAGAGGATTTTGCGTAGATCTCGCCGAGCTTAAGTACTACAACAGTATACCGCGACGAGAGCTGCTCTTACATACATCTGCGCGCGTATACCGCGACGAGAGCTACGCGACCCTTTTATTCGGCGAAGCATTTTATTAATTTATTTTCCCTTAAATTATGTACATATATTTATCTAACTTATATATACTTAATTTCTACTTATGAGCTACCAACAATATTCTTATTTTACTTATAGCTCATACCTACTTAATTTATATTGTATATAGTCATTAGTCACTAACACTAACTTATAATAATCTATTCCTATTTATAAAATAAGTCACCAACAATAACCTTCTTCCTCCTCGGAATATCGTCATAATATCTATTGTCGATATCTAATAAAAATCCGTTCTAAATCTTTAAGTTTATCTAGGAACTTAGTTTTGTAATATGTAAGATCCCCCTTAGTCGTTAGGGTTCACGTGTTCCTTTTCTATACATTCACAGCGTCACATTGCAACCTAAACATATGGAAACTATATACAATACATGTAAAATATTTCACTGAATAGTTAGCAGAATGACAAAAGGAAGATTACAGCATTGGAAACGACAAGAGATTGACAAAGATAAATGTCATTAAGGCTTTTCTATAAGAACGGATGGATAAAGATTATACTGTTTGTATCAAACGATGTCATATATATATGAAACTTAGACAAATATACAGTATTTACAATTGTCTTAACCAACATAGTAATAATTAAAATTGAATAAATAGAAAATTAAAACAAATTTGAAAAGTTTGGTCCCAGTGGCAGCATTTTCTCGCTGTATTGCGATACTTACCCGTTGAGCGAGGAAAGCACCAGCTCTAGGGTCACCGGTACCATCTACCAGGCGCCAACTTAAATCTTTAATTAGCGTCTGTGTACAAAAAATATTATATTTTATTTACATTCTTATCGCGCTGATAAGGTTTATTATGAAGTCCTAAAAGCCACTAACAGAAACTAGATGACAATAAATTAACGTACAAACCAACTATTTATACACGTAGATTACGTGCAAATTTTCACAATGGAACAATGGGAGCATAATGAGAAAGTTTTGTATGTATATCTGCGTCGCTTGCAGTGTCGAAACGGCAGAACTTTAGTTATTATAAACTTTGTGCAAGATAAACGTCTGTTCCTTGTAAAGATAGGAAAACTTCTGTTGTTTAATACTAGATGAATTAATTCCAATTGATTTGGAATAAATTTATTGTAGATTCACTTATAGCAGCGAAGTTACGTGTTAAAACTAAATCGTGCGTAAACATTACGCAAATCGAAAAGCAACTTGATTGGTATAATAATAAGATTAACAGTTTGTATACAGCTGTATAGTAAAATAGCAGGTTTTTATAAAAAAACCCTATGACAGTAATTACCACATATTAACTATTTATTCATATATTTTTTTTAAATAAAGTATATTATTAAAAATATTTGTGAAAAGAAATTATAAAATTAGAACGTCTAGGAAACCCTCTTTTAATAAAATTATAAACTCAGCTAGGTCAAGTATTAATACAGTTATGAGATCTCGTCATAATATTAAAGTATGTCTTTACCCAAATTTGTTGAGAGCCTCCTTGAGGCGGTCAAAATTATGAGATTTAAGTTCGGTATTTCGTTTTATTACTTCATAAAATGTCATTTACTCTGTGAAGTTGCAATTTAATTTAAATACTCTTTTACGCACAAGGAATTATGATATTTTTATAACGAGTTTCAGGTCAGTAACATCTCTGAATTCACTTCGATGACACGAAAATTTTCATCTTCGCTTTAAAAAAATAAATTTAATATATTTATTGTAGCCGGATCGGATTCCAGTAGAGGTTTTTCCCAAGGTGATGCAAGTGACATTTTTCTAGAGAAAATTCGTAAATGGCTACGCACACATTGACTTCGAATGTTCTGTGTGTTTGTGGGCTACGAAAGTATAGGCTAACACATTTCATAAAGTGTGTGACCAAAATGGATTTTGTCAGCTTAAGTTTAGTAGATTAGTTATTTACACAATGGTTATTCAAGTTTGATATAAAGAATAAGTTGACACAGTCTGACAGGGTACAATATCATGAATATCCAAAAAGAACTACGGTCATTCTTAAATTTTTTGAATTGACATTCTTTCTAAACGTCGCCGCACACGGGCCACACGCGACAGCCACAAATGCCGCCACGAGAAGCTAGAAGCGGCTACAAAGGTAGCTGAAGCGCGCGACAGCCACTTGTGGCCGGTGGTCGACACTTGCGGTCGGTGGCTGCTACTTTTTTTAACCCTTGCGTGCAGTATCATAATGGACTCTGACGAAGAAGGTTTAATTGCGCTACTTTTGATAAGAAGAAGAAGAATCGTAGTTATTGGATACATCCAATTTTAACGAATGTACACAAATGCAACGAACATTTCGATAATCTTCTAAACCACCCTAAAAAGTTTTTCAAACATTTTCGTTTAAGTGTAGGTACGTTTTGGGAACTACATGCTCTATTATATGCTGGATTAAAACACCACGACACCAACATGCGGAAAACCATCGCACCTGCGGAAAGACTAGCTATCACATTAAGGTAAGTGGAAATAATCACTAGCATAAAACTCCACAGAACACTATAGTAAAATAATCTATACTTTATTTATAATCAATATGCATTGTTTATTCTACTAGAAAATAGCTAGTTAACAAATAAAACACGTAGGTATTTGTATTTAGTTATTGTGTGTTTATTATAATTTAATATCACTCGTCATCATCACGGAACAATGAACATGTCTTCGATAACAGAACTGTTGTCCATAGACTGGTCAGAATAATATGAATGAGTTGGAGAAGGCTGAATTATAGGTGAAGACGGGATAGATGTAGAAGCGTTTTGTGTAGAGTATGACATGTCAAGCATAGACTTGTCGGAATAATGTGAATGAAGTGGAGAAGGCTGGGCAGATGTAGAAGCTTTTTGTGTTGAGTGTATGTTGTCATTTCCTGAAGAATAACCATAATATTGTGACGAATATGTTTCATAATTCTGATTATGCGTGTACTTTCTAATTAACTGTAATATTTCTAATTGAAAATCAAGTTTACAATTTTCGTCAATTTTTTTTACATGTGGAAGCAGCGACATCAGAAATTGCTTATCGGGGTCATTTTGGTCGCTTATTTGATCATGTTTACGTTTTAAATTTCTCGAAAGTGTTCTGAGAATTTCATTTTCTGATTTTTCGGCCCTTTTTATATTAATGTTTCTGTTTATTTTCGGGCGAGGTGTTTCCGCATCATTAGTTGCATTAGTAACATCGGTAGGTGGTCTCACTTCTTTTAAGGAATTCAAGAAAGATAGATGATTGAAATAAATCTACTGTTTACTGCTTGTTGCTGCCGAACCACTCGCAACGTTCTTGTTTTTTGCATTTTCTCTATTAAAACTGTCACGAAGACTCTTCCACTTCCTCTGTAATTTAGTTACTGTAACAACAACAAAATATTAAATACTTCATTGTTTCAGGTATCTAGGAACTGGATGTTCGTTTGAGGATTTTGAACTCTCTTACCTACAGCAAGAAAAATAGTACAAGAAACATGTCAACTAATTTGGAACTATTTAAAAGCCGTTTGTATTCCAGAACCGACGCAAGACATGTAGAATGAAATTGCCAGCGGATTTCTTCAAAATACTAATTTTCCTAATTGTTTAGGCGCCATAGATGGGAAACATATAAGAATTATTCATCTATTCGGTACCGGCTCCTTGTACTTTAACTATAAATTTCTTTATTCAATAGTACTTCTAGCAACATGCGACTCGAATTTACTTTTTACGTTCGTGGATGTTGGGGCATACGGTAAAGCATCCGATTCTACAATATTTAGAGAAAGTGAACTGTGTAATAAAATACACAGAAAGAGATTAAATATCCCTTCACCACGACAGGTCGGTAATCGACAACCATTGAACTATACATTTGTTGGTGATGAAGCATTTGGCCTCAGTGAAAATATGATGGGGCCATATGCTGGAAAATATTTAGACTTAGACAAACAAGTTTTCAATTATAGGTTAAGCCGTGCCAGACGTTGCATTGAGTGTACCTTCGGCGTACTAGCAAACAAATGGAGCATATTAAATCGCCCATTAAACACTTCTGTTCATTTCTCAGAAGACATTGTGAAAGCTTGTTGCATTTTGCACAACTTTATTCGCAAAAGGGATGGTTTCAATTTTCGTCACACTTTGAAAATAGTGGGACTCGAAAATATACAAAATACAGGCTGGAAGTTTTTTTTACCCCCCCTTCCCCACACCCTAAAAAAAACCTTTTTTTTCCAGTAACACGAGCGTCTACTGCAAGAGTCTATACGTTAAAAGATTATTTTACCGGACCCCTGCAGCCCAGCCTCCTTTTTTCTCCTGTTTTTTTCTTTTTTTCGCGGCGGCTTTTTTTTTTCTTTCTGTTCCAATGTAGAGTGTTGTGTTGGCTGATAAGATCGGAAGAATACGTCGTGAAGAAGTAATTTTTCGAAAACTTTAAAAGAAACGGAAGAAAAAATTTTATATCTTAAAAATATAACCCCCCTTTTCGTTTTTCCCCCCTCCTTCTCCCTTGATTGATTATTTGAGATACTTCCTTATCTGGGAAATGTTGGACTTTTAATATCCCATTACATAGTATGGTAATGTAGGGTTACGGCTTTTCAGGGCAGTTGTGTAATTATTTCTTTTGTTTTTAGGTGGAAGGCCGGGGGGTTTTTTTCTTTTTTTTTTTTCTTTCCCCCCTTGTTTGGGGGGGGGGGGGGGGGGGGGGGGGGGGGGGGGGGGGGGGGGGGCTTACTTCTGGTACTGACCTGTGTAGCCGTAAAACCTTGTTTGTAAAGGGCTGTGGCAATAAAATAGAATATAAATATATGGTTTTATATTATTTTATTAAACTTACCTTCAATGTTCTTTTGGGGCTTTGGCAGTTTTATTCGAAAAATTTCCCACAAACAATTCGCAGATTTCTTCCCAGGCCTTCACTTTTTCTCCTCTATTACTATAACTATCACTTTTTGAATCCCAAATCGCAGGACGGGATTGTATTTCTGATATAAATAATTCTATATCCATATTTATTTACCTATATGAACCACAGACTACGTGCGTGCGTTACCGTCGACTTCAGGTTAACTGAGGCAAGGGAGAGAGGGGCGCGGAATCGCGCGAGTGGCGTGTGGCGGCTTTTTGTGTCGGCGTTTAGTGGCCGGTGCGAGCCACAAGAAGCAAGCTGCGACGATTTGTAGCGTGTGGCCGCCACCGGCGCCAACCGTGTGCGGCGAGTCCATATAAAATGTATGAAAATTACAGGAAATATGCCAGTGGCGGCGTTTTGTGGTTGTGGCCGGTGGCTCGTGTGCGGTGACCCTAATAGATAATTGGCCATCATTGTTTCAAGTCTGGTTGTAACTTAATTGTTTTATTATATTTTTTTTACTTACATAATTGGGTACTACCAATGTCTGAATGGGCGTTATAACAAATGTGAAGATTATATCTAAATGTAACACAGTAACTATGATACATTGTATACAGTTGTTGGTAATGTCGTTAATCCTTGAACATTTCGGTAAAATTTTATTGCCACCACCGTGATGAAGCCACTAGTTCCACAGAAAAGTTGGTGGCGCTTCACATATTACGAGTCTTCAGTTACAATGTGTAGGGTGTAATAATATTTCATACGCCTCGGTTGCGATCGACTGCGTCACGCGAGCGTTGACAACTTAATTGATGTCACGTGACACAGCGCGGGAATGGTCTGCTACAGATCATTGCTTAAAAGCGTTTATATATATTACTGTAGTCTTTGAATCCATGCTTAAATATAAGAAACAATAATGATTGTAGGCTTTATTTATTTGATTTGAATTTTGATCAAAAGCATATACAGGGTGGCCCAGAGAGAAAAGCACTTTTGAAAATTCAAGGAAAAAAAAGCTGTATACCTTAGTACAAATGTGTTTATTATAATTCAAAGATAATTAAATGAAATTTACTTTTTAAAAACTACGTCGTCCAAATGACGTCCTTGACGGTTACAGCATTCTTCCAATCTGGCATCAAAATTTTAGAAAACTTTCGTTAGAGTTTCCCTCGAAATGGATTCCATTTCTTGCCGAATGTTCAGCTTCAATTGCGGCAGAGTTGTTGGATTATTAGAGTATACTCTACTCTTAAGGTAGCCCCACAAAAAGAAGTCTGCTGGAGTGACATCGGGGCTTCTTGGGGGCCAGGAGATGTCACCCCTTCGTGAAATTAATTTTTGTGGGAACATTTCTCTTACCACCTCAATGCTCACATTAGAAGTGTGACACGTAGCCCCATCTTGCTGGAACCATGTATTCCTGGTATAGCCTCGCGTTTCTTGCAGCTTTGGAATCAAAAAACTTCTCAACATAGCTGTATAGCGTTCGGAATTGACGGTTACCGCTTGGCCACGGTTGTTCTCAAAGAAAAATGGTCCGATGATTCCCCATTTCGCAATTGCGGCCCATACTGTAACCTTCGGTGAGTGTAGCGGCTTCTGATGTTTCAACCGAGGATTTTCTGAACTGAAGAACTCGCTGAATGTTTTCATCGGTCCGTGAAACTCTTTGGCGACCGCGAGGCCGCATTTTTTGTGTCGATCCTGTTCTTTCAAATCTTTGGATCCATTGTTTAATTAAATAAGTGCTTGGACACTCACTGATGCGCCGCAATTCGAATTTAGCACGATAAAGCCGCCGAACAGTCACATAAGATTGAGCATTCTCATAAAATGCACGGACACAAATCGCGCGCTGCTCTCCCGTGTAATGATGCATGGCGACTAAAATTACAAAGTCCACGCTACGCATTGCTCCAGCGCCCCTCTCTCATGTGTTTTAGAAATGCGCGCGAAATCAAAAGTGCATTTCTCTCTGGGCCACCCTTTATTATATATTTATATTTCGAAGCACAGAGTTCGTAAATGAACAACACCAAAGTCTTATAAGTTTATAACCTTTAATACTTGTGGTTTATTCGATTTGCTAATATTACTAGATTTACAAATTCACAGACTGTTTGATAGTCTGTAGTAATGGTACTTTCATAGTCATTATTATTAATTTCATTAGTGTTAGCTGCCATCGTCATTATTATTTAATAATATCAAAGTCAAATTAGTTCAAAATCTTTAATACTCGTGTTTTATTTAATTTATCAATGTTGCTACATCTATAAATTAACGACTTTTCAATTGTTGATAATAATAGTGACTCCATGGTCATTAAAAGTAATTTATCATAACCTTAAACCGTTGAAACTTAAATACAATTAATATTATAATAATCTGTGTCACTCGTCCCTATGACTGCCGTTTGACTCTATAGTCAATTCTCAGATTAGGGTAAAAAACTGCCTTCACCGGGGAAGGCGGGAAACTTTTACTTCGCACTTCTCTCCCGCCAATTAGCTACTGTCCCTGTACCCTTCAGGTGATTGACCACCCGGCACCCCCCGGCGGCCAGGTTGAGGTCCGAATCCCGCAGGAGACGCCCTTGCGGTAGTCGCGGGATAATCCCATTTTCACTGAGCTACGCTCGCTAAAACAGCCTGAGCTGAGCTGACAAGGCCTGTCAGACCAACAGCGATATTCTATTTTAAAAAAATGCGGCGCACATTACGATTGAGCGGTCGAACCAAGCAGAAGACTTTAAAAAGTAGTCTCTAATGTCGAATTTTTTTCAAAAAAAAGTTTTGTTAAACAGGGTATAAGACAGATTGCTGTGTCTGATTTATTGTTAGATTGTCTATATAGGTATGTTACCTTTACGCCTTTGGCGTATAGGTATATATATTATATATACACCACCCCGTCTTTCCCAAGACTAGAATAGAAAGATATCCGCATGGGTGTCAAGCCGGAGTTCGAAGTTAAGGATGTAGAATCACACTCTTCGTCATTGAGGTTTCACTCCTCCAATTCCACTTTTATATTTAATAAAAAATACTCAAATAAGACTTTTTATTACATTAAATTATTACGGCTCATAAAAACTGAGCCAAGGGATTTATGAGGGTCTTTATTACACATTCTCTATTTATTTAAATTGCCTATTATATTAGAAAAGGTAGAATCGTCGACGTTATCTAGTTGATCATTTGGTTCGATTTCTAGGAAATCAATAACTCCTGGATGGAATGCACATAGTAATAAAATCGTTTTATTTCAGATACTCATTCTTTCTAGATATCTGTGTGCCCTTTTTTTGCCAAAGGCTTCCTCCGAATCCCGCCTGTTTCTGTCTGCACTGCCACTCTGCCATGTATCTGTTTTTTCTTAATCTGGTTTATTCACCTTCTTAATTGTCTTTCTCTTTTGCGTTTATTGTACCTTGACTGTTTAGTAAGTAAACTAGTGCTGTTTGATACTTTCCTGTTCCACTTTTCCGTTCCTCTTGCCATGTGCCCCACTCATTTCCACTTTTATTTATATTCATTGAATATCTGCTATCTTAGTTGATCTTCTTAATTATGTATTATTTATTTTATCTATTCTTTAAGTACCTATCATACATCGATCCATCGATCTTTGACACACCTGTAGTTTTGTTGCTGCCTAAGTGTGAGATCCATATGTTAGTCCAGGTAGTACACAAGTATTGAAAAGCTTCTAAAGCTTTACGAAATGATATTTGCATTTCGTACAAGTAATTGCTTAGAAACAAAACAGACACTTAATGGAGATGTTAGCAAAAATATTAAATAAGATATTTAAACCAGACCGAAATGTATACAAGTATATTCAATAAATGTAAAAACATGACGTAATAATTATAACAAAAGAGTGCAAAAGCGTACGGCCTCCATCAGCTATTGGAATCAGGCCAGAATTCAATTAAACACTCAACGCGAGCGTGACAATTTCCGTGGAACATTAGCGTGACAAAATCAGAAAACTGTATCGCTAGGGATTTTTTAATCACAACACCTATTATATTTTCATTTATATTCGATATAAAAACCAATTGTTTTAAGGGTAGGCGTTATAAAAATAATAATTGCTGGCTTAGTACGTGTTTACATTGTAGATTTATAAGATTTTAAATAGCCAGGTTGATTTAATGTAGATATAGCACGAATAAATATATTTCACCGTTTCCATACAAAAGTATTTGTTATCGATTACTACATATTTTTTGCTAATCGTTTTTCAAAAAGCCAGTCATCAATTGCACCGCTGACAGCGTGACAATTGCAGTGTGACGATACGTGACAATATGTTTGAATTCTGTTATAAATGGTTGTTGTTTTTCTTAAATTTTCTATTTCAGACTTTCAACTACGTTATACTTATACATCAACACGTCCCCAATCTGTGATATATATATTACATTTAAAGGTTTGTTAAATGCTTCTAAATAATATGTTGGTCTTACGAGGTTATAATAATATTTTGTCTACTACAATATCTAATATTAACAAAGTAGGAAATACTCGTAATAAAAATGGTTAACTACTTGTCATCTATAAATCAAACTTTAATTTGTCACGTCCGTAGCTCACGTGACACGTATTGTCACGCGTCGAATGACAGACTAATTGTTGTCACTTCATTTCACTGATTTATTCATGGATTTATTACAGCGCGGGCCATTCAAATAGTGTTGTGGATGTAATAATGTTGAAGTTTATGGTACTTAATCACTTGAATTGCATCTCCTTGTTTTGATAACATGTTCTATTGTCAAAACTGTGTTGGTTAGATTTTGCATGTAATTTATTTGCCATGTTAGTATTTTGGTTAAGGGATAAACATTGTAACCCTATATTTGTAGCATTTATTTATTTGTTTTAATTTCGTAACATAAATTAAACGCTTTTTAATGAGATATAACCATCTTTTAAATAAAATTACTATCAATTTATGAAGTCAATCACATAGTATAGCAAGCAATGATGCTTTACATCATTCCTTACTATTACTATCACTGAGTCAGAAACCATAAAGGATAGATTTTTCAATCAAATTGAATCGCAGAACAATATCAGATTCTGATATCGTTTGCCGAATCACTAATATATAAAAGATATTCGATTTAAGCCATCTCAAGCATTTCACATGTGAGAGAGAAATAGCTTTGGCTTATGAAAAAATGTCAATTTCTTACATATAGTATTATTTTTATTACTAAAGTTGTCATTTTGCCCGTGTCATGTGTCAGGTGAAATGAATCATGATATAGCTAATTCGTGACCTTTTTGCCCGTTTTAACCAATGATGACTATACTAATATAGAATCTCTAAAATTACGTTGCCAAAAGCTATGTCAAATTATTTTAAGCTGTAATTAGTTTTTAGTGTTTTTTATTGTTCTCGTATTAATTAAATATTTTAAGTCTCAAGTGAAACATTTTTTTAACAAGATACCTATGCCAAAATTTATTTTGCCAGTCCAAGAATATACAAAAATAAATTCGTTTGTTTTTTCAGACTGAATTATGCTTGGAAACTTATTTTTTTATGACGTTCATAATTTTTCATGTGAATAAATCTTGTTTGTGGTGTGATTAAAATAAACTAGATACTGCAGCTATATGTGACGCAAGAGAAAGCAGCGGAATTTAAATCAAAATTAAGTCGAGAGGACAGCCGGTATCAATTAGGTGCGACAATTTGACGTGACACCACGTGACACGTCACAGAGCGAGCCAATCGATGATTTGCACTTCATGCTATAAATGCAGTTAAAATAAATTGGCATTTGCTCAACGATGGAAATGCAAGAACTCACAACATCACTCTTATACCTACTTTAAAATATGCTATTTTTTTTACTAAATTTCTATCTAATATAACCTTCATTAGAATTAATAGTAGTCGAGCCCAAAAGGTAACTTCGTCTATTTAAAAAATCATAAAATTGTATATATAGGACAAAGTCTTTTATTAAACGATTCTTCTTCTTCAGTCGCGCTCTTTTTTGAAGGTCGTGTTAGTTGGCTTTGCACCTCTTCCTCCACTCTATCTTTCTTCGGCAAGCCTCTGCAGTTGGGTGATGGTAAGACCTGTAAGGGTGATTACTTGATTGGTCAATAGGATCTAAATCTGGTGCCCTCCACCAGAAAATTACAATAATTAAATTACTAAAGCATGCAAATACAGGGGCCTAGGCTCCGAATATGATTTTGCCCCATTCAGTGTCAAGGCTCTTCCGTCCGTGGGGTCCTAGCGCTAGTCGACATCAAAGGAGACCGAAGAGCTGGCAGCTACCTCGGACAAAGAATTAGCTCTTCAAAGGGGGAACGCTGCCAGTATCTTCGGAACCTTGCCTAAAGGGACTGCTTTTAATAATATATTTTAGTTTTTATATTTTAAGCTTTGTTATTGTTTTTTGTTATAGATTAGATTGTTATTGAAGTTATATAAATTAACAGAATGAAAAAATACGTTATTGAATACCTATACCTATTATTATCAATAAATTATTCATTTTAGAAGATAGATATTTTTATAGTATACAATAAAGTCCAATAGATCATTAAATTACATTGGTATCTTTTGTATTTACATGCAAAGGCATTATCCGTGTGAAAGTTACTAAGTCATCTTGC